AAAGCACTTTGATTGTCAATTTTGTCAGATTGACTTTGATGCTCACCTTCTCGAACTTCATGAAGTTCAATTTTCCTCCCACTTGTCATTTTGGAAAGATGCTCCTTTTCCAAAAAGACACCATCTCGAGCAACAAATACTTTGTTCTCATATTGGTTGTAGAAGTAAAACCCCTTTGTTTCTTTTGGATATCCCACAAAGAAACATTTGTCAGATATTGGAGCAAGCTTGTCAGATATGAGTCTTTTGACATATGCTTTGCAACCCCAATTCTTAAGAAAAGACAACCGTGGAGGTTTCTTCGTCCATGATTTATATGGAGTCTTTTCGACAGCTTTTGACGTAGCGCGATTTAGTGTAAGTGCCGCAGCTAGAAGTGCGTGTCCCTAGAAAGAGATAGGAAGATCACTAAGACCCATAATTGATCAAACCATGTCTAATAGAGTTCGATTTCTCCTCTCGGACACTCCATTCCATTGTGGAGTTCTAGGAGGTGTCAGTTCTGAGAGAATTCCATGTTCTTTCAGATGATCCTCGAATTCGTAGCTCAAATACTCGCCACCTTGATCTGATAGAAGTACTTTGATTTTCTTGCCAATCTGATTTTCCACTTCACTCTAAAATTCATTGAATTTCTCAAAGGATTCAAATTTGTGGACATAATTTAGACATAACCATATCTAATATAGTCGTCCGTGAATGTGATAGAATAACGATAACCATTTCTTGCGGTTGTGCTCATTTGTCCACATACATCCGTGTGTATAAGACCCAATATGTCACTAGCCCTTTCTCCCAACTTGGAGAATGGTTGCATTATCGTCTTGCCAAGTAAGCATCCTTTGCAGTTTTCAAACGACTCTAAGTCGAATGAATCAAGAATCCCTTCATGAAGAAGTTTCTTGATACGTTTGATGTTAATATGGCCAAGACAACAATTCCACAAGTAGATTTGATTTGACTCAACAGTCTTAGCTATTTTGGTGGTATCATTAACATTATAAAACTGTTTTTTTAATGAAAGCACATAAAGACCATATTCTGAATGTGTCGTACCATATAAAACATTATCAAGATAAAATTAACAACTATTGTCTTTTATCCAAAATTCAAAACCCTTGGCGTCCAACATCGAAATTGAAATAATGTTTTTGGTAATGTTAAGAATATGATAACAATTTTCAAGTTCAAAAACAAGCCTAGAGGGCAAAGAAAAACTAAGTTTCCCAACGGATTCGGCCGCAATCCTTTCTCTATTGCCGACCGGGAGTTCCACTTCTCTTTTCACTAGTCTTCTACTTTTCTTTAGTCCTTGAGCATTGGAACAAAGGTGTGAGCCACATCCGGTATATAATACCCATGAAGCTTTTCTAGTAAAGTTAAGGTCTATAACATATATACTTGATCCGGAAGCAACAGTGTCGTTCTTATACTCCTTGAACTTGAGGCAATCCCGTTTCCAATGTCCCTTCTTCTTACATTAGAAAAATTCGGAATCGGATTGAGAAGAGGCTACCTTCCTTTCCTTGTTGCCCTTGGAAGCTTTTGACTTAAATGGAAAGGTCTTCTTACCCTTCCCCTTGAAGATTTTATTCTTACCCGAGCGCTTGAATGGCTTGCCGTTCTTGACCATAAGCATATCATGCTTCCTTTCATCCTTAGCCGTTTTTCTCAGCTTTCTTCAACATTCCATGAAACTCAGTGAGGGTTTTCTCCATGCTGTGCATATTATAGTTCATCTTGAACTGATCATAGCCTTTGTGCATTGAGTGGAGAATAATGTCAATTGCCATCTCGGTTGAATACCCAACATCAAGTCTTTCCATGTTCTCAAATAAATCTGATCATTTTAAGTATATGTGGGCTAACCGACTCTCCTTTCTTGAGCTTGCTCTCAAGGATCTGCTTTTGGGTCTCAAACCGCTCAGTTCGGGCCTGCTCTTGGAACGTGTTATGAAGTTCAAAAATGATCTCAAAATCCGTCTTCTTTACAAAGAAGGTCTTTTGGAGATCCGGAGACATTGTGGCCAACATGGCCAACATGATGCATTTGACATCCCGATTGGCAGCGTGCCATCGGTTTAGGGCAGCTTGAGTGACCTCCTCATTAGGAGCGTCGAGCATTTCCTCATCAAGGACGTATTCCTTTTGCTCTTACATGAGAACTATACGCAAGTTCCTTTGCCAATCAAGGAAGTTTGTCCCATTCAACTTCTCTTAATCGAGAATATAACGGAGTGAAAACTGGTTTTGTTAGTGTTAGTTGCAGACATATTTCTACAATTGAAAGAATTTGCAATGAAAAAAGCATTCATAAAACCAATAAGTTTGAAATTTAAAGCATACATGCAAACTTTCAATCTTATTAAGCATTTTATCCACACATTAAAAATTGTCTCTTTTAGGCAAGAATAAAACTATTCCAAGACCTCAAAAATCAAAAAGTGATTAAGCAAGCTTTGGCTTGTCTTAACACTTAATATTTTAAGGTAACCAATCCAATTGCTAATAGCTCTAAGCTACTCTTGGTTCGATAAAATGTCACATCTAATGCTTTCTTGACGTGTATTTCCATTGCCACAACATCTACGGACTCCTTATTGATATCGTTGAGTTTAACAAAACTAACGTGTATTTGATGCCTTGCTTTGGCAAGCACACCAACATACCTTACTCCCTAGGAAAGTAGTAATGCCTTACTCCCATTACTATTCTCATTAGTTCTGTAAGTATCATTTTGGAATTACAAATTTAACTCAATATTCTTTGGGACTTAAAGTTTCTATGTTGGTTGATTTAAGTGAAATAAATTAGTCATTCAACATTTCAAAATCCTAAACATGCATAACATCGCAATTATATATAAGGAAATTTTGGATTTTAACACCAGACAAAAGGCTGAAAATGGTTTTTAACAACCCAAAAAAAAATAATATTTTAACACCACATAAGAAATTAAAAATTTGATGTTTACCACCAGTTAACGTTTTTTGTGACGGAAAATGGATGTGGGTCCCAAGATTTTGTTTTACCTCTAGTTTTCACCGAGCAAAACACGTACCTTCTTCCTTCATTGAATTCTCACCAACCACCTTCATTGAATTCTTTCTGAATCTTTAAGATTTCACATTCTAACCTAAATTATGTGGCTGAGGAGTGGAGTATAGAAGGGAGGTGTCAACATTGGAGAAGAACAGCTCAACAGGGTTTCGTCACCCATCATCATCAACTAGAGGGCAAAATTGCTAGAAATCTCACACCAAAGAAGGTATTTTTTTTACCTTTTGACAGCAATTTTGTCTATTACTAGTGCTTCATTGATGTCAAAATTGCAATTTTTGGCTAAATTAGGGCCAGTTTTGGCAACAGAGCAGGAAACCCTAAAAAAATCAATTTTCTACAATTGACTATGCGACTTAGGTTAATTGGAGTCCTTAATTGAAATTAGAGATTAATTAAAGTGGTTTATTGTTGATTAAGCTACTATTAACTGTACATGTGTGATTTGTTTATTAATTTATGTTAATGAGTACCTGAATTGGGTTTCAATTGTTTATGCATAAATGTTGGAATTGGTGCTTTGTAGTGTAAGTTTGAAAATTGGGATGGATTTGTTTATTCATAATGTGCATGTATTGATACATTATTGAAATATTAAATGGCTTTTAATACGTATTATATCTCTTTCACTGGTGGATAGATAATGGGTGATAATGATGGTATGGTTGACATCTGCCTTAGAGTGGGAGGTGCTTTTGTCCCTAAAAGAGTTAGCAAAGATAGGCAGCTACTGTGTTAGTGTGGTGGTTGGTGTTACTGGTATTGGAATGTTTAGGTTTCTAAGTTGGATGTGCATTTGATTAAAACAGCTGCAATTCATGGATTTGTTAATGGTGATATGGTCGTGCCTATGCATTACAACTGTTGGTATATGCAGAAGGGGAAAACCTTTAACACTAGGAAAAGGGAACTACTTAACATTGAAGAATTTAAGGGCCTTTTAGAGACAATAAATGCGGAGGGGTATGTTGAAGTCTTTTTAATCAGCACAAGCTCCTAGTAAGTCTATAAAGGAGGCCCAACCCTAATCCACCAAAGACAAATAAAAAGGGCAAGAAGGTAGGTAGTTCAACTACTGTGAGTGTTAGGAGGAGCCCTAGGTTTAAGAAGACGAAAACTGAACAAAGGGAGGAGAGTCCACTTAGGGAGATATTTGTCACAAAGAAAGGGAAAGAGAAGGTTGCAGAAGTAGTAGCTTCTAGTTTTGCAAATGAAAAGGCTAAGTTGAAAGGGAAAGCCTCAGCAAAGGCTAAAGTATTGAGGTTTGATGATGAGGAGGATTATGGAGGTGAAGGATTTGGGTATTCAAGTTCAGATTTGAGTGATGAGGACCTGGATTGGGAGCCTGGTGAAGAAGAATATGATGAAAGGGATGAGGAATGGTATATTGAAGGGTCAAAGGAGATCTTGGAAAAGGTGAACAAAAGCCTTAGGAAAGGTTTGGGGAGTAAAATAGATGAGGGGGTTGTTAAAGATAAGAGGTCAAAGCCGAGGGATGACTTGGATGTTGGAAAACTAAAGGTGAAGCTAGAGACTGATGGTGATTCAGATGATTCAAGGAGTTTGTGTGGATCTGATGAGGAAGAGGACTTTACTCCATGGTTTAATGCTGCTATGGACTTTGACAACCCAATCCAGTTGAAGTTAAGTCAGAAATTCAGTAATGCTTCAGTCTTAAGGAGGGCCTTAAGACTCCATGCCATTCAAAAAGGTATGAGCTCTACTTCTTTCATAATGACAATATAAGGATTACAATTCAGTGTAGGTATAGATGTGATTGTGAGTTCAATAGTTACACCTCAAGAATGCCTGCTGGTACATGTGTGGGGGGAGTAAAGTGTCATTTCAAGGTGTTTGCATCAAAACTTGTTAAGCAACAAACTTGGTAAATTAAAAGCTTGAAATTAAAACATACCTGCTTAAGAGTGAAGAAGAACAAGATGCTTACTGCTGAATATATAGCAGAGAGGTATTTAGAAGAGTTTGAGAGTAACCCTGGTTGGGGAATTAAGGAGATTAGGGCTAGGATTTTGAATGATTTAGGAATTGAAGTGAATTATTTTAAGGCATGGTTAGCTAGGTGTAGGGAAAAACTGATCATATTTTGGTTTAACTAGATAGCAGTATGCAAGGGTGTGGGATTATGGGAAAGCTGTGATGAAGTATAACCCTTGTTCTAGGTGCAATGTTGTTGTTTATGGTATTAACAGCCAAGAGCCACCCTTGTTCATGAGAATGTTAATTTGTTTAAGGCCACTCAGAGATGGGTTTGCAAAAGCTTGTAGGCCACTAATAGGGTTAGATGGTTGTCACCTCAAAGGTGCCTATCCTAGGAAAATTTTGGTGGCAGTGGCTAAGGATGGGAATAACAACTTATTTTCTCTAGCTTGGGCTATAGTGGAGATAGAAAACAAGGAAACTTGGAGTTCGTTCTTGGAATCACTTAAGGCAATGTTCAAAAATGATCAAGGAGCTGGGCTAACCATCATGTCTGACAGGCAGAAGGTATGCTTTTGTTTCCCTCTTAAGTACTTAGGTTCAATTTTGAAGTTTTCATGCGTATGTATGTGATTGGCTTAGTTTACTTTTTTCTGCATTTGGTAGGGTTGAATTAAAGCAATGGATGATTTTGCTCCCAAAGCTGAACAAAGGTTTTATGTTAGGCATATTTAGGCCAACTTAAAGCTCAAATTTGTTGGATCAACCTTCAAGGAGCTATTTTGGAGTGTAGCCAGGGCTACCACTTATGTAAGTTGGTTTGCTTGATCTGTTGTGCTTTTATATGCTAGTTTATATGCTTTTATATGCTTGGTTTGTTGTTGGTATGCTTTTATATGCTTAATTGTTTGTTTGATTTTATATGCTTAGTTGTTGGTATGCTTTTATATGCTTAATTGTTGGTATGCTTTTATATGCTTAAATGTCTTGATCTGTTATATATGTCTAGCTTTTATACATGTTGTCCTGAACTGGTATGCCATTGCATATTGTCAGTTTGAGTATGAAATTGCCATGGAGTCTATCAAATTCCTTGATGAAGAGGCATACGAGTATTTATTCAACATTCCAACCACTCATTGATGTAGACATGCATTTACACCAAACTACAAGTCCAACATGTTGTTGAACAACATGTGTGAGACTTTCAATGCAGTAATTAGGCCTGCCAGAGATAAACCTATCCTCACCCAAATGAAATGGATGAGGAGGTATATAATGAATAGGAATAATGAAAAGTGGGAGGATTAAAAAACAATTATAAGCAACTTAGTGCCATATGTGAGGAATATTTTGGGAAGGATAGACTTTGTGGCTAGGTCCTGTGTGGTGCAACCATCAAGAGAGAATACATTTGAGGTGCTGCTGAAGGATAACCAAGTGTTGGTTAATTTGGAGAAAGAGACCTGCACATGTTACCATTGGGAACTCACTGACATTTCCTGTCTTCATGCTTATGCATGCATGTTGGATATGAGGGGTGACATAAAGGCATATGTTGACCCATACTATACCATGGACACATACATGGCTGCTTATGAACTAGTTGTCCAACCAATGCCTAGTCCCAAGCACTGGGAGAAAGTCCAAATGAGGGAACCACAACCCCCTTCTTTTAAGGTGCAACCTGGGAGACCAAAGAGCAAAAAAAGGAAGCTTGAGCCAAGACAATGTTCTACTGCAGGTGGTCAACCAAGTACAACAAAGAGGAAGAAGCAATGCAGTCACTGTGGGGATTTGGATATTATGCAAAGACCTGCAAACTACCTGCTGCACCTGATACAAATGTGACAAGGACAGCAGGCAGACCCCCCCCCCCTGAACACTCCTTAGGTGGTGGAGGAGAGGAAGAAGAAAGAGATTAGAGCTACAAAAAAGGTAACACAAGAATTACACCAATTCCCCTTTTGTTTTACCTTTATGTATGTTATTCCACTAACTTTTTATTTTTAAATCCATGTCATAGAGAGCAATTGGGGCAGGACCAAAGAGCATAGCAAACAAAAAGTTTCCTCAAGAACAAGAAGGTTGTTTTCCATTAAGCAAGCAAGCACAATTCCAGTTAAGGTAGTCAAGCTCAAATCAGCCTAGCTCAAAACAATTAAAAACAAAGACAAAGGCTTCCTCAAGTCAGCCTGCAACACCCACAGTTCAACAACCACTCCAAATAGGTGTTGTAACAAGAGCCAAGCTGCAAACCTTCAGCAAGTTAAACCTCACTCAGTGATGTACTCATAAGACATCTTCCCTGCATTGCACTCCATGTTCATTCTCTTCCTGTCAGTGTTCAAGGCCTTGCATCTCATCTTCAAATTATCAACTTCATTAAGTAGGCACCTCCTTTTGCCACTAATTTCATCAACTTTCCTTTTCAATTCATTAACTTCATACTTTAGCAGCTTCTTATCCAGCTACAGGTTGTTGAAAACCCCTGTTTGCCAATCTATTCCATCAGGTTGATCAACCCATTCAAATGCTTTGCAGCCCTTAGTTTCTATGATTGGGTCATAAAACTTACAAGATATGAACTTCCTCCTTGGATTCTCCCTTGTCCAGCTAGTGAGCTTGGCCATTGGCACACCACACTAGCATTTTTTTTTCTTAGAAGGGGAAGAGCTAATAAACGACATAATCTGCATCAATTTTAGATCAACAATCACATTTACAAATTTGTACACTAACAAATTAACATTGTTAGCAACAATTTTCATTTTTAATTACCTAATACGAAAAGCCCCAATTTCAATTTGTGATGAACCCTAATTTTCTAATTAGGCAATTACATGCATACATAACATAATCCAACCATCAATTCGAGTACAAAACAATTGTAAATAATAAACGTAAAGAATTTAAACCATAATTACCAAACAAACGAACTATATTTCCCCAATTTGATTATACATAATTCGTTGTCATCGTATGAACACACATACCTGTTTTTGCAGCTTCAATCTCTTCCACTTCTCAAAAATCAAACAATGCTTTCAATAATTTTGGTTTTTTGGATGCAATGCGATCTGATTCCACTAAATTCGAACAAAGATTTGGTTACAAAAGGGGATAATTGGGGAGAATCGTGCATATATAGAGAGATTAAAAAAAATTAAATAAATAATCATTCATCTAATGAATTTTTTTTTATCCAACATTCACTTGTGCATATTTGAATATTGTAATCTTCCAATATGAAGAACAATAATTTTTCAAGCACAAGTATGAACATTTTAAGATTTTAATCAACTCAAAAATGATTAAAACCAAAAATTTAATCATTATGGATTTTAGAAAGTTAAGATCCAACCAAATAAACAATTAAAGATTGAATCTTTCACATTTTAGGGGCTTCAAAAATACATTTTCACCGTAAACATTCATACTCAAGCAACTAATTTGCAAAAATGTGAAATTGCAAGTTTAGGTGAAAATAAGAGCTAACCAAATTAAGCACCAATTATGACTTCATAAACATGCTCAATGAGGGTTAAAGATGCAGAAGATTAATGATATAATCAAACACATAAACCAAAAATTACATGCCATAATTAATCAAGGTTTACAAATTTAAAATTTTTCGTCAAGAACAAAAAACCCCTCGAAAAACCACTTTTTGGGTGAATTTTGGCTTCTGGAAGGCCATTGTTAATAACGAAGTGGGTAAAGTCTAATTTAAAATGTCGATTGCATCAAAAATTCATATTTTTTGAGTCAAAATTGGCCTTCGTAATCCAAAATTAGCATAAATACATTTTTAATCCAATTAAAAATGAGCTCCTAATCTAATCAGGATGCTAAACCAGAAATTTAAATCCATTTTTAAATCACCTTAATTAATTTTTAGTTGTAAAAAATAAATGCAAGAGGCTGTTATACCGCTGTTGGGTTTTGCGGTGTTCGACACCGCGCAGAAAATCTGATAACCGGATCGTATGCATAATAATTAGAACATAAATAAAAGCATGCAAATAAACATAAACATAAGAGAAGAGAGACAAGAGAGAGAAAGAATGCTCACCCTAGAAGCGTGCTTCACTCAATCGTTGAGCTTGGACTTGAAAGCTTCAAGTTCCACAAGTGCGAGATCCTCCGACGGATCACACCCTCGCTACCGAACCATAACCGGTCCCTACCGCAAACCTTAGTTGGGGCTAGACCAAAACAACTTAGAGTTTACGAACAGAGGTTTTCTCGATTTTAGAGAGCCCTTAAAGTTCACCAACTCAAGTGAAATTGTCAATACCCAATGATGGGTATTTATAGGGAAATGTCCTCAAGAATTCCCATCATCTTTCAATGAAGGATATTTGGTAAAAAGGAAAAAATAAGATTTAATTTAATTCCAAATTAAATTAAAAAGCCAAAACAATCATCAAACGACAAGTGGCGTAAGGTGAGCAAGGGAGTAGGTGAGGACCACAAAAGGAAGGACCACCTCCCCTTGCTCCCCAAGAAAATAGCCGGCACCAACCATGTGGCGCCAGCTGGCGCTCAGCCTTAGGCACCAAGGCATGCCTTGTTGGCGACCTGGTGCTCGGCTGGGCCTACCAGCTAGCCCACACACACGCACAGCCCAGCCAGCAAGCGTCGCACGAAATGCGGGCTGCTGCGCTGTGTGCTGCTGTTGCTACTATTGCCAGTGAGGCCCAGCACGCCTTGCTGGTGCACCTCCCCGCATGCATGCTCGCCATGCTGGCGAGCCTTGCTTGCATGGCTGCTCAGCCAGTGCATGCGATGCATGCTGGGTTTACGGCCAAGTGTTGCCTTACGGTAAGGAGCTTGGCCAGCCATGCTAGCCTATCTAGCCCTCAATTGGCTAGGCCAGATCGAGGCTAGGATTTTCACGCGCGTTGACTTTTTGTTTGACTGATTTTTCTGTCTCGTTGACTCATAAATTTGACTCGACTTTGACGCTCTAAGATCGGTATCCGACGTATTAGTTCGTAAAATCTTTATTGACTCATTTAATCCTTCGGATTAATTCGTTGCTACGGTTCGGTTACACGATTGGGTGTGACCCGAAGGGTTCAATGAAGATTAAGCTTAATATTAATTATTCATTAATATTACTAATCGGAAGTGGCCTCCAGCTAGACATTCTGATCACTTGACCACACTAAATAATTAGCTTTCTAATTAATTTCGAACCTTCTACAGAATAATACACTTGTTCGTAGGACACCATTCCTTTTAGATACAAAGGGTGCTTGGCTAAGCAGCCCCTCATGCCCGAACAACCCTCCGCACAGAACAACTCTTCGCACCAAGCTCAACACCATGGCGCGACTAGCATCGCCGTGGCACGACATTTTCTGCCATGGCGCGACACCTGCTGTCGTGGTGCGACTCAATTATCAATGAGCATTTCTTACTCTATCTCTTTATTGCTTTCTTTAAATTCATGCTTGTTTAGTTTGTTGCTTAATTCTTGAGTAGATTAGTTTGTTCTTCATAATTGGTTGATTCTTGATTTCAATTACTTGTTTGAATTGGATGATGGATTGTAGTGAGTAATTGTTTTCTATGGTTTGCATAAAACTTATATGATTGATTGATTGATTGTGATTTAATTTGGGAATTATGTTGATTGATTGTTGAGATTAAAGTGATTAATGGAAGTTTTCATATGCTTAGTTTGATTAGGCCTTGAGAACTATTCAAGATTGCATTGTAGATCTTAGTGACATGACCACTTGAGTTAGGATTTGCAATTGTTGATTGGTTTGAATTGTGATTTTCCTAGTTTGTTATTCATAGAGGAAACCTAGCTTAACGATTAAGAGATATGTCTTTGATTCTAATTGATAGCTCTTATCATTAGTCTTCGCAACCATTGATTAATTTAACTTTCCCAAGTTGTTGCAATTGTCATGATTACTCGTTGATCCCCATTCCCTAGTGTTTCATTTATTTGATTTTTTATTGTTTTGGTAGTTGTATAGTCTTTCTTCACATTCGACTTCGACCTAGCTTAGATATTGTCTGAAAGCACTTGAACATAACCATTCCTAGTGGTCGACCCTTGACTTACCTCTATACTTGTATTTAGGTTTTTTAAGTAATTATAAATTTTTTTTGGCTCTAGGGAGGATTAGTAAATGACCTAGCTAGTTTACCTTATGTCAATTAGGTATTGAAATGTTTAGTTGTGATAGTTGAATGTAATGTGCATATACAATGTTTTCATTTTATTACTTTGTATATTGAATCCTATCCTATCCTATTATATCATTTCATAGCATATCATATCATATCACTAATAAATAAAGTCGGTCTCACAGCCAGGGCACAAGACAGCGACACTTGACATTCCAATTTTTGGCCAAGTGTCGTGCCACGTAGGCGACAAATAGATATTTTTGTGATCTGGCAATCTTGACCCAGACCCGATGACCCGACTTGAATGACTCGACCCATGACCCGAAATTGACCAGAAAAGAGTGACCTAAAATTGACCAAAAACCCGAAATCAACCCAGCCCGACCCATACTCGACCCGAAGTGGAAGTGACTCGACCTTGACCTGAAACCTGAAGTGACCCAACTCGAATTGACTCGACCCAAAGTGACCCGACCCGAAATCGACTCGATATTCAAAGTGACCCGACCTGAATTTAACTTGAATTAATTGACCCCAATAGATCTGAAACCCGAAGTGGCTGAACTAAAATTACCCTGTACTTGAAATGATCAGTTACAATTATTTAAGCTAAATACTTTGCTCGAGTCGACCCAAATAGAAAATAACTACAATCAAACTTGATATTTTTAAATTTATTTGTAATGTGTAACAGT